AAAAAGAAAATTAATTAATTCATAGGTCATTAAATTAATTTACTCTCGTTTTATTCTGTTGTTCTTGATGATTTTTTTCCCAAAAAACGAGGTTAACATTAATTTCAATACTTATACGCACCTTAGTATACAACAAAAAGCATATAAACAATTAGCTATTTAACCGGTTTAGCAGTTGGCTAATTAGCTGAGTTAAGCTAGGTTAACCGGTTAAGCCGTTGGCTAATTAGCTAAGCTAATTCGGCTAATCGGTTAAATTAGCTAAGCTGGCCAGCTAACTCGCTAATTAACTTAGCTATCTTTTTTAGCCGGCCTAACCGGCCAAATTGTACAGCCCTATTAAATAGTAAATATCAAGAAATAGTCGTAGTCATTCGGGAATCTGCTTCTTAATTTAATCGGCTAGTATCGCAACAATTCATAAATTCTCTGAGACTTCCAACCTCAATTTATTTCCGTTTTAGTTGAAATATAAGCAGATGTCACCCGATGAATCAATAATCTTAAAATAAGAATACTTTCATTTACTTAGAAATTATGTGTGAAAGTTTTGTGTGCTTGGACTCCCTGCAACTGAGAAGCTTATTCATGATATAGTCTATGAGTAAGAATGTATTTGCAAAGCTTAATATCAACTGTATTTTTATAATGTTGCCGCGTTCAAAGTAATTCAATCGATTCCCCAGAACAATTAGTAATCTCTGACACGTGACAGCCACGTGACGCAACGCATTGCCACAAGTTCATTGTCTACGGTTCACAGGAACGTCTTTTCATCTCTATAAACTACATTTACGACTCTCTAGTGAATATAGTATGAGAAAACTAGTATGTATATACACTTTACGTCAACTTATCAAATGGTTTCGACTTTACATGTTAAGAAGTGCATATTATTTCAATTGGGTCTGTGTATATGTATTTCACACTAATAGTACCTCTTTATAAGAGAAACTATAAGTAAAAAATTGTCTAATAAATGTGATTTTTGACTTTAGTTAGATCAATAAGTTTAATGTACTTATTGATTTCACGAATATAGTTGAAATAAAGCCCAAAAATATTACTACAATATAGAAAAACTATGGAAATTATTAAAAAGAAAAACAAATAAATTAAAAAATGTTCCATTTAGCTACACCTGACGTGGATATGTAGATTTCTGGGATGAGTATTAAAGAACAAATTTACCTCAAAAATAAGATTTTTAATACATGAACGTCACTTGACGACAAAAGCCACAAGTTAATTTAATTTTAATTTTTCGTACTACGAAATATATATAGTATTTAAGGTCGACGAATAAGAGCTTAAATTAAAGAAAGGTATGTAAATTTTTAAAATTAAGTTAATAAATTTGAGCTATTTTTGACGGCTTAAGAATTATTGAAAGAAAAATACCCGAAACACATATAAATATTCATTAAAAAATTTTTTCATATTTTCATAATCACGAAATAAATTGAAAAATCATCAAACTGAGACACATAATATAATAAGATATAAGATAATAGCTATAATTCAAAAAAATTAGTTGAATTTTACAATAAATCTAATAAGTTTCGTGTATCTTATACATCTGTAAAATTATTTTCATAAAATTGACGAGATTGAAAATTAAAAAAATTTCCAAGCACCTACAACTCGTAAATTAACAGGCCAATATTGCTAATCTTCGAACTTGATCTTTATATTGACTTATGGGATAATTATACATAATTTCATAAAATCGGTTAAAAACTGGGACGCAATCCTGCAGACATGGCGCGTAATCTTAAATATAATTTTTAATTTTTTTTTTTGCTCTTACCCTCTCAAATGTTTCTATTTAATATAAAAAAAAAATCCTCACCAAATTTGGGCGTTCCAGCTCAACTCTAAGAGGTCGCCGTTTTAATTTTAGTTTTTCATTTAATTAACATGGCGAAAAAAGATTTTATGTTTGGAATTTTATATCTCTGTTTCAAAGTAACTTATAGCGATGATCATTGCACTTCTCTATATAAAATTCAACGCTCTACAAAAAAGGTCTCTTATGATTTTTCGTTAAATTGATTTCTTCCTGAGTTATTCGAGGTCAAAGTTTGACCAATATCAAATTTTCTGGTTTTTTTAAATTTTATAGTAAAATTAGCAGGCGGGTGGTGAAAGGGGGCAAAACAAGGCGTTAGAGGTGGGATGGAGGGGTAAAATGGGTTACCCGAAAAATTTTGTAAAAAAAATTTTTTTTTTTAATTGTTTTTTTCGTTTTCTAAATTACTTGAAGATACATTGACTTACGAGTTCACGGCTTTAATCGAAAAAAATTATTTTGAGACTGTAGAGCAAGAAAAAGGAAAGTAAAAATTTGGAAAACTTTTCCATCGAACTTTTTTTTCAGATTGTATGCAGATTAAGGTGCTTAAAAAAAAATTTTTTTTTTTACTCTTACCCTCCCAAATGTTGGTGATTAATAGAAAAGAATCCTCCTGCAAAGCAGGCACTGTATAGCTTAACTCTAAGGGGTCATTTGTAGAGAACGCATTGCTTCCATGATTATTATTCTGTGAGTTGCAATAAAAATTAAGAAAAAATATTCTTTCAATTCGTTTTTTTAATGATAATTTATTTATTTATTGTCATTGAGTGCGGTTTTCGTACAAACAGGATACTGCTGTCTATGAGACTGAACAAGTTGAAGTAAATACTGTTTTTGCTCTTCATTTCGTGTCAAGCAACGGTTGTATTTAGTTATTAATGCTATACCTTGCTCTGCTACATCGTTGATGACGTTTAAACTACTGAAAATTTTTTTACATTCAATTAAATGTTCGTTGGCTTCCCAAGAATCTGGATGAAGATCAAGGAAATCATATGATAATTCAAATTGCGTAAAAAATAAAAAGAGATTCAACGCTGACAAAGTCACTTAAATCTTTTTCAAATATTATATCTAAATCATTTATATTTAATTCAAATCTTGTTTTAATTTTGTAGTACTTTTTTTGCTGTATGATTGCATTGACCATTTTTATCTTTGTTTCTACGGACACTCTTTCATCGAAAAACGATAAAGTGACTAAATCTACTGATAAGTACCAAAGATGTGATTTTAATTTATCTAGAGGAGCAACTGCAAAAACAGGTTGGATGTTTTTGTATTCAATGAGAGATTTCATTAAATTTGAATCATTCAGTGGAGCATTAATAGCAGAAGACGACTCAAACCAAGATTTTATAAAAAAAATTACAACAAAAATTGAAATATCACGAATACTTCTGATGTCCTTAACAGACAGCGAAAATTGATGTTGAAATAAAAATATTTGTAGACAGTAGATGGCTTTTGCAAGCTCTAGAGTGGAATACCTGTAAGATAAAAAATAATAATAAAATGAATACTAGAATATACGAATCAACGTCAGTGATGTTTTAATTTTGATGCATTACCTGTAATTGATTTAATATATGATGTTTAAGCCCTTCAACTTTTTCAATTAAAATTTCAACAACTGCATCATCTTGAAAACCGATTTTATAATTTGACTGATCTATTTCACTCCATTTTTTTGGAATTGTTTAAAAATTCCAACCTCGGGTCCTGTTGTTACTAGCCATGAAACTTCGAAAACATTTCTGAGAATAATTTCAAATACATGATCTCGGCAAGCGAAATGTAAAAGCCGTCTTTCTAAAAACTTTTCCAACTCAGCACATGAACCACTTTTCATACCTTTGAATATAAAAATTTAATTTGTTTAGTTTCCAAATCAGACAAGTAATTGAAATTATATGATCTTTTTAAATAAATTGAATCAAAAAAATTAGGAAAACGGTTGACCCTGAAGGCCATCCCTGCAACTTCCCGCCAATTCTATACCTAAACGCTACAAATTGCACTTATGACGTTTTTGAGCTCATCGAGCTCATAAATACAGATTGCATATTATTTTGAGCTCTCCGAGCTCAAAAAGAAGCTTTTGTATGCTTTTGAGCTCTTCGAGCTCAAAAGTTTGGTAGAACTTTGATAAAACACTATTTTTGGAATTTTCAAATCACAATAACTTTTGAATGAATGAACCGATTTTCACGCGGTTGGCGGCAATCGATGCAGTTTTTAAATTCATATGAAGAATCTTTAAGTTTAAATCGGTCAAACCAGGAATTTTGAAGTAATTCCGAAAAAACATTTTTTTCGGTTTTCTTTCGCCAACGATAACTGACGAACGAATTAACTGATTTTGACCGGATTCGCGGCAATCGACGTGGTTTTTTGATGTTAAAAGCTGATTAGTTTTTAAAATTAATCGGTAGAGCCGTTTGAAAGTTATTCCAAAAAAGCCACTTTTGAAAAAATTGTTTTTTGTAGTTTTTTTGCGATTTCTCAAAATCTACAGGTCCGAATCGTTCCAAAGTATATACAAAATCTAAGTTTGGTCAAGCCCTTTCGAATGGCACCAACCGCGATCAAATCGGTCAAGCCGTTTAAAAGTTATGAGAGGTTCACATACACACACACACACACACACACACACACACACACATACACACATACACACACCCTGCGGCAGAGGAGAAACTGCTACCAGGCGCGTCTCCCCGTAGCGGATGGGTTGACACTCGCTGTGATCTAAGAAATTTTTTGAAATAACTTTTTATTATTGCAACTTAAATTAAAAAACAAAAGTAATAGAGCAAACAGATTCATATTAAAAATGAATAAAAATTTTCGTACATCGAAAGAAAAAAATTTCTATAATTTACATTAATAAATGTTTTTTTATTTCTAACTGGTTTATGAAAATGGACATCTGCAGATACTTATTATATTTTAAATATTAAAAAAAATTTTTTCGGTTACGTTATGTTTGCATTAGAAAGAAATAGTGATTTTTGCAAAATTTTCAGTTAAATGTATGAAGAATTATGCATCTAAATATTGCAAAAATTTAATGTTGAGTAAGGTCAGAGCTCCAGTAGCTGCTCATGTACCAGTACATGCTCACTTGATGTATTTGTATATCTATATTCACAAATATAGATATACAAATACATGGAGTGAGCATGTACTGGTACATGAACAGCTTTTAGGGCTTTTACCTTAATCAAATTTTTTATCAATTTAAAAAAAATAATTTTTTCAAACTATTTAGATGATAATTCTAATCAAGATATAAAATTATAGATTCTATGGAAGAAATCAGCAATCCACGGTTAAGATCACGACGACCTAAAGCACATCCATCCTCACTTGAAGAAAAATCCGATGACAGTGATAACTCAATCGACTTAGTTATGAGAAAAAAAAAGGTAAATACTTACCACAAAATAAAAAAAATTCAAATTTCTTTTTTTTTTTTTTTTAATCATAACAACTGCAACTTTTATTTTTCATTTTATTAGGCTAAAGGTAAAAGTCAAGTACAAGCGAAAAAAATAACGAATCATGATATATTAACAAAATACGAAGAACAGCGAAAGGAAGACGATAATTTTAACGGAGAGGTTCATGAAAGGGTTGAAGAAAACAATGACGGTAGTCATGAAGAAGTTGATGAATATGATGATAATGATACCGAAAATGAACGTGAAAATGGCAATAGAATCGTTAATGTTGTCATTGAACATGCTGGAAGTCATGATGTGCTGGAAGACACAAGTGTGGGAAATGAAAATGATAGAGAAACTTCGGATGAAGGTTTATTTGATACCCAAGTACAGATTAATCCAACAAATCTGGAAGGTGATGCGACAGACCAGGTAAGGAAATTACAATATGGTAGTATATCAATTATTAATAATAAATATAACTAAAATCTCATAACGCAAACTCAAAATATAATTAATAAAAGATTATCTCACTATCTTAAAATTTTTGATTTATTTTATGCACAATAGTAATACGAATGAAATTCATTGAAAATTGTTATTTAAATTTAAAATCTGATAATTGAAAAAGAAAAAAAAATATTAAAAAAAATGTTTTTGTAATAATAATTATTGAGATTTAGAAGTTCTACATCTTTAACAATGAATCTTTTCAGCAATGAGCTTTCAAGACTTTGAAATTATTAACGGTTTATTTATTAATGTTTGACTTTTATCTTCATGAACATATTATAATATTTTAAAGATAATTCTGGTTAGGAAAAGAAAATCGAAATTAAAATTGAATTTTTTCTTGAAATATAATGTTTTTGTCAATTGCATTTTGGTGATTTTTTTTTAGAAAATAATGAGTTATTGTCATGTGATGGTCAGTTATAACAATTTTACATTGAAAGCATATGTGAAGAAATATTCTCGAGTTATGAAGTTTTATATCTTGTTTAACAAACAATTTAGCAATAGATGCAAATACATATTTTGATATAAAATTAAATACTCTATAAAAGGATACTTTGCGCTTGTTCAATAAATTTACTATTTCACAATTTAATCAATTGAGAATTAAAAATATATAGGATTGGCATTTTTAATTAATTTTTTTTTTAAAATTACTATTAAAATAGAGTAAAAGAACCCATTAGTCGCCGCTGTAAAAGACTGATTACTGAAATTTTTTCTTATTTTTTAAAAATATAGCACTTGAAATTAAAATTAAACATTTTTGTGATCTAGAGGTTTCAAAGATTAAAATTAAAGTAGCCAGAATAGAAATTAATAATTTAATTCATTAAAAATATTGCAAAGTTAATGTTAAAGTCACTAATGAGGTCCCTGTCACTAATAAAGTCATTTTACCTTAGTCAAAATTTCTCATCGCTTTAAGAGAACATCAAAATTCAATAAAGAGAAAAACTTTTTAATCTATGCTCTATCTTTCAATGTAAATAATGAAAACTTGCAAAGTAATAAATTTTTAAATAACATAACTGTATACAGTTAAACAATTGATGACATCATTACTTTTAATAAAATCAATTTTTAACTTTTCAATAGAAGGAAAAAGACCTCTGTGCTGACCAGTTAAGAAATATTTCTTTTTAAGTCAATATTTTTAATAAAAGTAAATTAATTCAGGAACAGAATAATTATACCGTTATGACTTAAATTTATAATTAAAAAAAAAAAAAACAAAAATACGAAAAAACATTAATAAGCAATATGTAAATAAGTAAAATTAGCTTAAAATCCTAATGTGCTGTCTGTCTACCTAGTGCAGGTTCCTCTATTACGCTGATAGAAGGATTTTTATAGTTAAAAATATTTGTTTAAATTTAATAAATCATTTATTAGAGACGACTTTTTAGTATTAAACAAATATTTCTTAGTATTTAAAATAATTTGATTGTATTTAATAAATCTGATATTCATTTATTAAATATTAATAAATCTTTTTAAATATTAAGAAATATTTGTTAAGGACTAAAAAGTCGTCCCTAATAAATGATTTGTTAAATATTAACAAATATTTTTAGCAATAAACAAATCCTTCTATCAGTGTAAGCTAGTCATTGCACGTTTATTAACCATCTTGGAGACAAATAATAACGATAGAAAGCATGACTAAAAAAAATGCTACAAGAAAGTTATTCGTATGAAAGACTACAATTATAAAAAAAAAAAAAAAAAATATTTTTTTATGCACTGTCATAATTCACCTAACTAATTTTTAACTTGATTGATTTATCAATTCAATAATTTCTCGAAGATAGCGTTGTGTAATTGTTCTGAACTTTAGAATGATATTCAAATATTAAAGTTAAGAAATATTTATTTGGAAATTTTTTATATTAATATTCAGCCTCCAAATAAAAGACGACAGGGTGGTCAATGGTACAAACATTGTCAATAATTATTCTAACTCGTTATCATCTTTTCGGTCATTATTATGCTAGTATAAATCTAATTCAAGTGGATGGAAATTTTCATCTTTACTAACAATTTGAGACAATTCGTCTTTGTTTGGATAGTTGGGTCAATGGGCAACCATCGAACTTGTTAGTAAAGATGGAAACTTCCATCCACTTCAATTAGATTTATATTAGCATAATAATGATCGAAAAGGTGATCACGAGTTAGAATAATTATAAAAATCACGGTTGAGAAAAAATAAAAAATTGTCAATAATTTTTAGCATTCATCCTCATTCTGCTTCTTATAAAGACGATTATAAAAACATATTTAATTTTTTAATTTTTAAGAGTACTCTACACTATGAACATGAATTAGATGAAAAAAGTACAGTTTTTTTTGTATAATTAAAAAAAATGTTGACATTAACCGACTTGATAAGAAGTTATCAGAAATTCGAGGTAATGGACAAATACATTTTTTTCTTTTTTAATAAAATCGCTTTTCTAAATAATATAATCATACTAATACTAGACTTGTTGATTTTACAATTTTTTCTTGTTTTCCAATATTATTTATGTAATTATAAACAAATTAGTGCGAAGTCTAGACCAAGTTATTAATAATATAAGTATCGCAAGTTCAGTTGTCTTTTACTTTATAAAATAAAAATGATAAAATATTTAAAATAAGCATAGAATCTTTTTTTGAATAATAATAATAATAATAATAATAATAATAATAATAATAATTTTTAAAAGATGATGAAAAAATTTTAAACTTACAATAAGACCAGCCTAAACTTAAAATATCTTTTGAAAAGAAAATTTATCAAAAAATTGAAAATGAATATAATGTAGGGAACTTCTAATCCCTTTTAAGAAATTTTGTTGATTTAATCAATAAGTTCTGAAAATGACCAGATTGAAAATTCAAATTTTGAGAAATATTTGTTGCCATCTTGTCCAAGATGAAAATAAAAAATGTTTCAACTCAATTCAAGTTTAATTATCAATATTAACAGCTCCTATGTAAGAAAGTAGGTATTTCAGTTGACAATCGCTATGTTAAATTTCACAATTTTGAAAAAAAAAAGTTATTCTTTGACTTAGTGATACATAATAGTATCACAGTTGAGCATAATGATTAGTTCGTTTATTATAATGACCAAAAAATATTCAGCTTATCTTTATCATTAAACACAGTAAAAATTCTATTTTTCTAAAAAGCTGGCTTTTATAGTAAAATTCAATGCATATGTTAGCTCATATTTTGTATTACAGCAATCCCACTTACTGTGCTCTGTTTATCATACGTGTTTCAATAGTGAAAAAATATACAGTTGATCGTAAATTTTTTCGTGATAACTATTTCTATATATTATAATTTAATTTTGTAGGAAAATTGTAGAACGATATTGCTTAGTCATGAAAATTAAAGCTATTCGTTTCACAAATTTTTTACTGAAAATGTAATTCATTATTTATTAATATAGAGTATAAATAATTTTTCTAATTAACTCTTATATTATGCAGGTTCCACCGAGAATTCATAATAACAAGAAGCTGAGAAATGTAACTGATCGTAGTGATGAGGTAAGTTATCAATTAATTCTGAACAATATGACATATTGCAGCATACAAACAGATAATAAAATTTATTTAAATAATAAAACTGTAATTCGGAAACTATCACTTTGTTTTTAGGAATCACGAAACAATGAAGCAAATTTGATGGTGCAGGAATTTATTGAGCAAAATAGGAAATTAAATGCAATAATAGAAAAAATGCGTCATGAACAATGGTCTGATTCTCATAATGAACATTTAGAACGAGAACGAGAACAGCAATAAATATTTGAAGAGGAAGAACGACAACGGCAATTAATGGAACTACATCAAAGACGAAAACTACTAGAAAGAGCACAACGAGAACGAGAACGAGAACAGCAAAAACAAGAACAACAGGAACGACAACAACGAGAACGAGAACGTCGAGAACAAGAGCAGCGAGACCAACAACGGCAAAACCGAGAACAACGAGAACGAGAACGAGGGAATCAAATTGATAACGAAGAAGACGACTTAACTGATCAAGTCCACATCGGAGGGCGGATATTTATTTCTAGGCTTGCATATACCGAGGCTTTTAGAGAATATAGGCCCTCGAAATTTATAGCTATAATGTCCCATGCGATATGGGGATATAAAAATTTAGCCCTCCGAGCTGTCAAAGTAGGCAAAAGAAATTCAAGAAAATTATCATTGACACCAACGAAGAAGCTAGTGTTGGAAAAGCAATACAAGAAATTTTTAAAACAAAGAAATTTATCCGCCGACATGGAGACCGTGGAGCGGAATAAAATCAATACATATTTGGGACGATCCATTACTAGTGCGATAAAAAAAGTAGCTAATCCGAAATAACAGAATTGTCATAATTAAACTAAACTAAAGAATCAACTTTTTTTGAATGACGACAATAATTATCATAAGAACTTGAGCCCGTAATATTGATATTAAAAGGTCAATCATCGCAATTTTGAATTTCTCATATTTAACTAGTTTTTGTCTCTTATTTCCGAAATCATTGTAGTAAACAGAATTAACGTGAACATTTTAAAGACGATTGAATGGTATGCAAAAAATATCAATCAGAAATTTTTTATCTGATATTATTTATTCTGATGAACTGCCTCAAAACTTGAATTGTCGAAAAAATTAAATTTTTAAACCTTTGCAATTTTTTAAGTCAACGCTCTACATAAAAATTTTCTTAACGGTTTTGGCTTTATTCATTCTTTAAAAAAATACTTAAATTAAAAATCGTTTTGTTTTCTTTGTAAACTTAATTTTTTGAAACAAAAGGAAAATTAGTTTACACTACACCGATAAAAAAATTGATTTGACTCAAGAGCCAAAAAATTCTTGAACTAAGAATACCATTTTGAAAAAAATGATGGTCTTGAGTCAACAGAATAAATTCTTGAACTAAGAAATTATTCTTGGTCTAAGAAAATTTTCTTGAGTCAAGAATTTGTTCTCTTGACTCAAGAAAATTATTTTCTTTAAAATGGAATTCTTGGTTCAAGAGTTTAGCTCTTGAGTCAAGTCAATTTTTTTATCAGTGTACAAAGCTGTTTATTTTGAAATATTTTGAAATTCATTCGCCACCTTCCTAGTAAAATAAGAATAATCATTTCTAAAAAGATTTCAATTTTCCTAATTGAAACCTAAAAGATTAATTTACAGCGAAAACATACAAAATTTCGTACTAACTATGGCTTTGAGGATTTTCTTAAGAAATTAATAAAGTTAAGAAACGCTAAGAGAATTTTTCATAAAGCATTTAATTTCCTTAGAGAAAATTAATTAACTTCTATTTACTGATTGTTACGTAAACTAAAGAATTCTAAACATTAAAATAAAATCTTAAAATTATACCAAGGTCTAAAGCATGTTCTTCAGAAAATGTTTTATCTAAAAATTAATTCCCAATTGACTTTTCATGTAGAGAATTTAATTTTCTGTAATTAATGTACTCTCATTAATTTTGTTAACTACGATGTTTTAAGAGATATTAGACAATAATTAGTTCAGTAACAAAAAAAAAGTTCAGAATAGCGATGATTTACCTTTTAATATCAATCTTATGGGCTGAAGTTCTAATAATATTATTTGTTGTCATTTTTAAATAACATATTAACATTTCCAATGTTCTCTTGAAGAAAAAAAATATTCTAATTTACTCAGCTTATTTTAGTCTCCACTTGTGTATAAGATTGTAGTTATTTTCATTTCTTGAACTATTTAACTATACGTAAAAGTAAAAATATTTTATAGATGATAAAGTAATTATTATATTGGTGAAGAAAGTTTTTTATCTAACAATTAATAATATACTTAGCAAAATCTTAAAAACTTAAGTAACTAAATATTTTTAACTTATATATTGTATTAATAGTCGTTCTTTTAATAGTTATTTTATAAAGACAGGTTGTGAATTTTCAAAGTATAAAGTGAGTTAAAAGATAAAGTCTCGAATAAAATATAGAAATATATATAAAACCGGTATAATTAAATTTTTTTAACCAATAACATTCCTTTTTCCCAATTTTTTAATTGCTGAAGACAAGCATTAAATATCAAAAAAGTCACAGTTAATTAATTTCCGAGACTATAAATACTTTTATAAATTACTGATTAATTCTGAAATAGTCTGAAAAATTATTATTCTAGATTCCACTCCATATGTACAAAATCTCTGCGAAATTCTAAAAAAGTCTTCCAGAAGAGTCCAAAAACGTTTAAAAATGCAGTCTTTAAAATGCAATATAAATCTTAAATATGTCTTCTCATACTTTTTCAGAATTTTTTAGAATTTTTCTGACTAATTTATTCTTCTAGAATTTTTTTTTAGAATGCTGCAAGAATTAATCTGACTTCTAGCAGAAAATATTTCCACCAGGGTGGCTACCTAAGTAGGCAGCATTTCGGAAACCAAATTTGCCAGGAAGAATCCAAATTTAATTCTTTCTTGGTTTTTAGCTTTTCTATTATCGAGCGAAAATTAATAATAACAAATGCTTATTTTTTATCTAATTTTACTTTTTTAAGTATAAATATTGAATTTCGGACTAAATTATTTAAATATTTCGTGAATAAAAAAAAAAAAACAAATTTTTTATTACTTTTATTTAATATTATTATTTTTTATTTAATTTTAGTTTTTCGGTAATTTTTTTTTATTTTTTGAAACATTTTTTAATCTGAGGAAGTTTTTTTTGATTGGTAGATTTGATAAGTCAAGGGGGAAGGAGATGTAGGAGTTATATACATTAGTCACACATAACACTTAACACATAACTTTACTTCACACTCGTCTTAATAGTAATTATAATTAGTAATTATTAATTATTAAAAATTGTACATGCCGAACGCGAGACTCGAACACCGTACCCGACGCACGAGAGCCCTATACCATACCGCAACGCTACGCCGTCGGTGAGCGACTTCTTGCCTCAAGATACTTATAAGCGCGATCAAGGTTCGGCTTGCCTCATTTAAAACAAATAAAATTCGAATGGGGCTAGCCTAAGTTCGGAAAGCCAAGTTCACTCCAAATTGGCAAAACTCAGATTATCGTTACTTGAAACCAGTTCGGCATTCCGATGATATATCAGACTCAAAGAATCCATGATGCTTTCCTAGTTACGTCCAAGTTTGGCAAGCCGAACTTCAGCAATTATTTATGGTTACCGTTATTAAAAATCTGTCTGGCATTTTTAGGATATGCCGGACTTTGGTAATACCACACAGTTTCAGGATCACAACCAAATTTGGAATACTTTCGGCATGCCAATTTTCGTTCTGCCTACCTTGGTTTTTATGAGGTGCAACCTATGCAAGCCTAAGTTAGGCAAGCCAAACTTATCCCTCACTAATTCTTCGGGATTCCTCACTACAATTTCTAGTCGGGAGTTTAACATACTATTAGTATGCCTGACTTGCATGAAGTCACAATTATCGAAGATTTACACTGAGAAAAAAAAATACTTTTGTTAAGAAAATTTTCTTGATACAAGAATTTATGTTCTTGAACATTTTCAAGAATATATATTCTTAGCTCAAGAAATTGTTAAATTGATTAGAACAATTTTCACTTAATTTAAATAAAGCTATTCTTTTGTTTATTTATCATCCAAAGATAAATATTGATATTCTTCTCTTCAGAAATTAATAATTAATAATAATAGAATATTTGATCTTTAGCGAATTTCTTGAACCAAGAAATTGTTAATTGAGTAAAAGTATTTTTTTTCTCAGTGTACCGAAGTTTGGTTTGCTAAACTTGGGCGTAGCTTGGAAAACCTACGGCAGAACGAATTTTGACAAACTATTGGTGTGCCTGACTTGCATGAACTCACGGTTACCGAAGATTTGCCGAAGTTTGGTTTGCCAAACTTGGGCGTAGCTTGGAAAACCTACGGCAGAACGAAGTTTGACAAACTTATGGTATGCCTGACTTGCATGAAGTCACGGTTATCGAAGATTTACCGAAGCTTGATTTGGCAAACTTGGGCAAAGCTTGGAAAACTTACGGCAGAACGAAGTTTGACAAACTAATGGTATGCCTGACTTGCATGAATTCACGGTTACCGAAGATTCGCCGCAGTTTGGTGTGCCAAACTTGGGCATAGCTTGGAAAACATACGGCAGTTCGAAGTTTGACATACTATTGGTATGCCTGACTTGTATGAACTTACGGTTACCGAAGATTTGCCGAAGTTTGGTTTGCCGAATTTGGGCGTAGCTTGCAAAAACTATGGCAGTGCCGAACTTGGGCTTGCCTATAGGGGAATTAATGAGGCGTGAATTAGGCTTGCCAAAGTTCGGAAAGCCAAACTTGCCCCGAATTGATTGTTCGGCAATGCCTCACGAAATTTCTAGTCGGGTAGTGACACTTCCTTTAATTTTGGTGCTTATTCAATTAATGAAATCATTAATTTCAATAATGAATATATTACTTCTAATCTTTAAGACTTTTAAATCAACAAAATTTTTAATTTTTATTTCAAGCTGAAAATTTTTTCATTAAAAGAAAAAGTACCACTAATGGGGTCTTTTACCTTAAGGAGGTCCTTTCGCCATCAATGTTAAATAAAAAATATGAGATTATACATCAAATTAATTTTTATATAATAGTTAAAGTCTGTATTTACTAGTGAAGTTTAATTTACTCTTCATTATGGAAATTAAAAAAAAAAAAATTTCTAAAAATGTTAGTATTTTTTCCGAGTCTTACGAGAAAGTCAGACCTTAACAACTTTCTCGAATTATGGCATTAACCACCAATTAGATGGGGTAGAAAAAAACTCAAAATAAGGTTTTCGAAATATTCAGATTTCATTTTTTGCGATAAAATATGTAGGTTGCCGTGGAATTTATGGAGAAATTAAAATTATAAAATCACAGAAAATTTTTGAGTAACCTACATTTAAATGACGTCAGAACATTACGCTTATATTTTTCATACACACTTAAATATGTCAAATTCTTAGTCCGTTGACTGAATAGTTATATGTAATTTGAAATTTCGGAAACGTTATAATGACTTTTTTGCCGCTGCCAAAGAGACGATTGTTGTAAGAAAATATCACTATTCAGTAAGAAAAATATTTAAATCCGTTGACCTTGGAGGCCATCCCGGTAATTGTCTGTTTCTCTTCAGAGATTCTATCAAATTTTATATTTGTAGGAACTGTATTTGAATCGTAAGATCCTATTCGAGATGATTTCTTCATTATAAATAAAAGATTCCAACAAAACTTCGAGTCTATAAAAACTATCGATTGGAAATGAGGAATTTTCATTGTTAACGCCTCCACGATCCGTTTTGGGGTTAGAATTCGAGAAAATCCATTTTCAGCTGAACTTGACATCGTACACGAAGATTTCTACCAAATTTAGAATCTGCAGCAGTTACAGTTTGGAAATTAAAATTTTAGATTTTAATATCCGCCCCCGCAATCCCTATCGGAAGTAGAATTTTTTGGAATCCGTTTTGAGATGATCTCCTCATGACAAATGAAAGATTCCAACCTAATTTCGAGTTTGTAAAAGTTACAGTTTGAAAATGGAAATTTGAAATTCTAACACCCAGCCCCGCAATCCCTGTCGGAAGTAGAATTTATTGAAATCCATTTTGAGATGATCTCTACATGACAAATAAAAGATTTCTACCAAATTTACAGCTTTTAGAAGCTATACTTTGGAAATTAAGATTTTTTTTGTCAACACCCCTCCTCGCAATCCTCCCATTGTTTATTGATGCATTCAAGAGTTATCGTAGTTGAAAAAATAATTCAAAGTATGAAATAATAGAATATTGAGCACATGTAACATTTTTAAATCTTATTACAGACTATACAATCATGGATGCAGATGACGGCGAATCAAGAACAAAGTCGTCAGAACTATGTATATATTTGTACATCACTCGATGAGAATTGTTTAGATCTTGAACAGTTGAGTTTTACGAAGAAAGTAAGCCTAAACAATTTTAGCTCGCTTTGTATTTTAAATATTTTAATATTTATAAAGTTTATCATCCTAATACAAAATTACCTATCAAAGGCAAAACTTGACAAATAGTTGCAATTATAAGATTTTTTTTTAATAAACAATGGTTACCGTGATTCAAAGTGAGAAGTACCGAGGTTGATCAGAGATCTTTAATGTCTTGATAATTAGGAATTTGTAGAAAATTCGGATGCATTGGACCTCTCGGACTTATCATCGGTGGCATCATTCTGCTAACAAAAAAATTTTGATGTTGCGTAGTCATCATCGGGTTTATCGCCATAGGTATCCTATTATAAGGCATAATGATAGGAAATTGTGGCGGTGCCCAATGCGCAGAAATGCGTTCACTTAAACCGTAACGATCACTTCCTTTGTTTGAACGATCACGAGATCTATGGCCCCTAGGTGATCCGTCGCGTTTGCGGTCCCGGGAACTTCTTTCGTTTGAACGATAACGAGATCTATGGTCCCTAGAAGATGATCCGTCGCGTTTGCGGTCCAGAGAACTTCTTTCGTTTGAACGATCACGAGATCTGTGGCCCCTAGAAGATGATCCGTCGCGTTTGCGGTCCCGGGAACTTCTTTCGTTTGAACGATAACTATGTCTGATTGTTCGCCGGTCGTCATTTTTATCGTTGGATATTAATATATCAGAGGTCTTGAGTTCTGGGCGGTCGAATATTGGGGTTATTCCTTCACCCTTTCTTCGCATAACTACTACATCAGTCTCAAGGTTTACTATGTCCCGCTTAATACTTCCCAACTGAGGACTAGTTGTTGAGATATCCCGATCAATCGTTACAATTATTCCCTTCAATTTTGTTGGAGAGATTGACTTTCGCGCTCCTTTGAGTCCTTTGAGTAATGAAACTTTTTTACTCTTATCTAAAATATGAGGCAGACTACAGCGAATTTCCTGTCTGCACGAGTTCTCTAAAGACCTTCTCCTGTTTCTATTATTACTCCTGAAGGAACTGAGACTCCGATATCGATTTCGACTTCTAGAACAGCTAAGTTTTCGAGCTCTGGCCTCTTCGTACTTCTGAATCATCATTTGATTTACGCGTTCATGCTCGCATCTTATTTTCATATTCAGTAAAAATTTGGCACGTCCTTCCCGTGACCCCATCTTCATTTCGTCCATGTCTCAGGAAAGGCTATAAAAAAATTAATAAATAATTATTATTATATAAAGACTGTTATTTCCGGATTATTCTAGGTGTCGCTGTTAATGAATTGAACTATAATTTATCTTTATAAATTAATTTTAGAATCGATTTGTCGACTACTATATTCTCTATACATATACACACACACTACGGTTTTAGTGACTAGCGGCTGTTTTTCGTATCCCCTCTCCTAAAAATAATCCTCTAAAAGTAAAATTGATTTAAAATACATTGAAAGAATATATTAATTTATGTTTTATATTTTGATTGATACTCACGTTGACTTTTATATAATTTTGCAATACATAGAAAACTAGTTTCTCCTGTATATTTGGAATGTAATGAGTTGGTACCGTAAGCTCCCGTATCTGAGACAACGTTTTCATAAAATTGTTTGAATCAATTGTGGCCCTTATATAATTTTCAATAGTTTCAAGTTGGTACGTATTGTTACTTTGCAAATGAGTGACACTGAACTTTTACTTTTACAAGCATTTCTGTTAGTGTAAATATACGTCTAATAACACTTAACTCGATCTATTGCGTATGACTGAGGCATGGATTTATTTTATCCACGGAGGCTAGATATAAGTAAGATAATATATAACACGGAGCTTAGATAGGAGCTCGAACGGCACGCAGGAAGAACCCCCAATGGGCTCTCTTAAGTTGGCGGGGGAAAATCAATTTTTTTAACTTTTTATTTTAACTTTTTTATTGCCAAATCGTTTGTTCGTCGTTTGTTTGTGATTGTTCGATTAATTTTGTTGTTTGTTCGTTGTTCATTTTTTTATAAATAATTTTCAAAATTTTGACCTAAACCTAGCCCTTAATATAATGGTATCTGCGGTTTTTTTTTTTTTTTTTCTATCAATCCTAACTAGATATTGTTTGTTCGATCAAAATAAATGTTTGTTCGATCGTACTTTTTTTTATAATCAATTTTTTATTGTAATTACACCCACGCAGCTGCACATGTTTAAAAAAATCCAACTGCGCATGCGCGAACTTCCAAGTGATTGTGCGGTCTACTTAAATCTGAATTCAAGTAATATTAATAAAAATAATAATAACAATAATTCTTACTCCGATGAAAAAAGTTTTTATCTCATCATAAATAATCAGACAAAAACTTTTTTCATCGGGATTGTTATTATCTCTATCAATTAATATTATTTCAAAGATATGAGGGAAGAGGTCGGTTACCTACAGACCAATGAGTTAGATTACCGGTGACTTAGATTCCGATTACCTAGATTTCCATAACCCAGAATCCGATTACCCAAAGGATCAATGACGTAGAATTCCTATGGGGTAGATTACCGATTACCTAGAATCCCGATTACTTAGAATCCGATTGCCTAGAAATTTGATTGGACATAATTCCGATTACACTGAAATCCGATTGCCTATAATTCTGATAACTTACAATCCCTATCGCATAGATTTCTTATACCTTGACAAAAAAAAGTTAATCTGGATAGATGGCGCCATATGTAACAAAACTTTCATTTCATTATAAAATTTAAATTATTTTTATTAAGCGACAATATAATCAGATATGTTCAATTTATATTAATAACGGGAAATATTAATTTAAATAATTCGTTTTTTTTTCTTTTTAAACAATTATATTTTAATAAGATTGTCGAATAAGTAATCAATTAAAATAAAAATGAGCTTTAAACGACGATTTTAAGTGGAACTCTAATCATGGACTTAGCGCTATGCGACGACTGCTGCTGTCATACATGAATGTTTCAGAATGCGCCTTTTGAAAATACTAGGCCAATATTTTTTTTACTATCTGTAGCGATTCTCAAGCTTTCATTAAGCTATGCTCTGACCCGTTACGCGCATCTGGCTCCACGCCGCCACTCGGGAACCCTGAATCAACAGGACCGCAATTCCTTTGCTCCAAACGTCTGCTGCAACATCATCTATCCCTGCGACTCCAAAAACTCCCAGTCCCACCAGCAAACTTTGCTATTCTTGAAGCCGATTTTCCAGGGAGCAGTCCTACGAAGCACAGCCAGTCGATTCAAGCGTCCCCGACAATTACTTTGTGGCCCGAGCGGCCCCGGGCTAGTTCTGCTGATGAATCTTCGTAGAATCTTTTAGCCCCTAGATCCTACAGAAAATAAAAAAATTCCTGCAAGCATGAACCAGTCACCATAAAAACTTTGAACGTCAAGATTTCCACAAGCTCCTAGTTCCAAGCGTTCAAAAGCTAGGTCGCTGTCCTAAGAAAGACCAGGCATGTAAATGTTTTTCTGCTCATAGGCTGCGTCAGCAAAGCCTAATCATCAGGATAAGCACATTCGTAGCCTTCAATTGGACGCTAGTTATTTTTGACCGGTTTATGGCTGGTCGCGTTGTAAACAAACATAAAATATTTTTTTTTAAACTTTAATCACTGCACAATAAATTGCATTATTTGTTATTATGATCATTAGATGCCATATTTTTTTATTTTAATACTTTAAAAAAAACCCTTGTAAAACATTAGTTAGTTAACTTTTATATACATCGGTCAACTAATTGATGACCGGTCAACAACTGGTGCATTATTAATATTAATATTTAATATTATTTTATGGTATTTTATTCTTTCAACATTAATTAATTAGTAATTATTCATAAGTTGGATACAAATATGAATTGTCAATTTAATTTTTATATATTTAGTTGCAATATTATATGAAAGCAAGTTCAATAAAAATATGTTATTTAACTTTTATTTAAAATGATTCCTTTCGAGATTGGAGTTTACTTGAAACTATAGTATATGTAAAATAATTACAGCGCACCCTGGTGAGTGTAGATGCAAGCTGTGAAATATCTTTTTTTTAACTGTAGTACCCATCTATTGGAGGATTACTATGCATTCTCGAATTATGTAGTCTGTGGCAGATCACTTTGCCCATCGAAAAAAAGTCAGGATCGAAATTTTTGCGTTGCTATAGTTTGTGCTAATTAAATTTAATAATTTTAAGTAGATTAATTGTTATAATTGAATATATTTAATTAATATCAGTGAAATAAGGTATGAACTACTGTTATAATAGACAATTTAGAAAAAAAAAGTACCGTAGAATTAAAATAAAATTTGCAACCTCAAAATACCGTTCTGCTTACAGTAAACACATTCGGTAGTCTGGCGCTCCGTTTACAACGGATTTGAACGGAACTTGGCACCAAATTCTACCGAATTTGTGGATATTTTATATTATGTCAATTGATATCACTGAATTAATAATGAAATGCACTCACTCTCCAATTGGACGCTAGTTATTTTTGACCGGTTTATGGCTGGTCGCGTTGTAAACAAACATAAAATATTTTTTTTTAAACTTTAATCACTGCACAATAAATTGCATTATTTGTTATTATGATCATTAGATGCCATATTTTTTTATTTTAATACTTTAAAAAAAACCCTTGTAAAACATTAGTTAGTTAACTTTTATATACATCGGTCAACTAATTGATGACCGGTCAACAACTGGTGCATTATTAATATTAATATTTAATATTATTTTATGGTATTTTATTCTTTCAACATTAATTAATTAGTAATTATTCATAAGTTGGATACAAATATGAATTGTCAATTTAATTTTTATATATTTAGTTGCAATATTATATGAAAGCAAGTTCAATAAAAATATGTTATTTAACTTTTATTTAAAATGATTCCTTTCGAGGGCTCCCTTAAGTTGGCGGGGGGTAATTGATTTTTTATTAATTTTTTTGGCTAATTCAATTGTTCTTGAATTGTTCTTCAATGTTTGATCAAAAATTTGTTTTGTTCGTTTTTAGTTTTTTTTAAATTTAATTTTCAAAATTTGACTCTCAAGTTAGCACTAAATATTGATTTTCTCACTTTTTTTTTTTTTTAATAGTTTATAATTATTTATTCATTGTTCGATTAGAAAAAACATTTGTTCGTCCTTCGTTATCCTGTAATTTAATAATAAACTTTTTTTTATTCTAAGCTAATTTATTTTCACCGCGCATGCGCAAAGGTCATTCGAACCGTCAGTAACCCGGCAATCTTTAAATAGAAATTATTTGTAAATCATCGTTATATCCGAGGGACATAAAAAGTTTTCTGTTTTTTAAATTTTATATAAAATTTGATAAGAGTAATCATCAATCCATTAATTGCACGACTCATGATGCGAAGCATCAGAGAGTGCTTTACGATCGAAAAATTTTTTTCGCCTCATTTTGGTAGCTATTTTTATTATTATAGCCTTGTTAGTTCACGGAATCAAGATATTTTGCATACTATTGTCGAGATAATTTAATGGAGATTAATTCCATACTTTTTAAAAATTGATTTACTGCAATAGAATCGGAAAAAAACACCAAAATAGGCCAAAAAATTTTCCTGTCCGTCATGTATGAAAC